GTTGCTGTTGCTGTTGCTGTTGCTGTTGCTTTTCTTGTGTTTCTGGCGTTGTTTCCGCCGTGTTTTTTCCCCGCCAGGTAATTACGGGCGTTTTCTGTCAGTCAGCGATAGATGCTGCGCAGAGCGACCACGACATGGTGATACAATCCATCCTGAACAACAAGGATACCCACATTGAGAAGATCAGGATGCTTTTCTCCGAGATCGATGAAGATTCGGCTGGGATCATCACGTTCCAGAGTCTTGGCATTTAAGATTTAAGATGGCTTCACGCGTGGAAGGGCCAAACAGTTGTCCAACTATTGGGAGCTGTTCAGCGGCTGCTCAGCAAACGGGAGACGCCACGCGTGACGGAATGTGTAGGCGGGTTTGTGCTAGCGCTTCCGTTTGCCGTTTCACATTGCTGGGTAGGCAATGTGTGTGTGTGGGCTCGCGTCTGAGAAGCTTTTAGTGTTCCGTCGCGCCATGTTGGTTGGCAACATTGTTGGTCCCAAGGGAACAGCCCAAGGTTCGTTTACAACCCAACAACGCAGGCCTTTGTCGCCTGCCGCGGAAAACGACGCGACAAGAAGTTCTGCCATCCATTTGGTTCAGTATTTGAGCAACAGGCAATGTTGATCATCTATGGTTCATTTGGGGTGGAGTGAGCGTGTGGGAACTGCTTAGTTGCCCCTTTTACCTACAAACAGGGTTTCCCATTAGAATAATCTAAGTGATGTTCTCTAGCACCCATGCGCACTTGCGAGAATGTCGGCAATCATACATGGTTCCATTTCATTTCATGGTCTCGAAAAGCAGGCTTTTGCTTCCGGACCACCCCCTTGTTTAAACATGGTTAGACCAGCATTGTTCCCTTTATACGGGACCAGCGGTGGGTGGAATAAAGGCTATTTCCCTAGGTCTTTTTATGCCCCGGCACCCCTATAAGGGGGGATCCTTGCTCATGATGGTGGGCATGCAGATTGACGAAACCATTCTGCCACATCCAAGCGCACGATCCGAGCATCCAAACGCATGCGGCGCACGATCTGAGGATGTTCCAGGAACGGATCATGTCAGAGGAGGTGAAGACCTACTTCGAGTCCATAGATCTTGATGTTTCTTGGAGGCTGAAGCGTTCAACTGAGCCTTCAGCGTTCGAGCTTGTTTTTTTTTGTTTTTTGTTTTTTTTTTGGGTTTTTTTTTCTTTCTCAGCTTCTGTTCCACAAAGTTCAACTGGTCCACAATCAAAACCTGGGTAGATGAAGGTTAGTAAGGGGCAGTCCCCTTTGCCATAAACAGCTGCGGATATCCGCCTTCTTAATTCTTGAAGCATGGTTCTGGGTCCAGCATTCTATTTCCGGGTTTTGATTGTGGCTCTGGTGCAGTCTAAGGTTTGGGACGCCTGGACGTTCTTCAAACTGCTGGACATGGACTCCGGCGGAGCCGTTGAGGTGGAAGAGTTTCTCATGGGCTGCGCCTTGCCGAAAGCGGGGAGGTGTCGGTTTGAAAACAAACGTGGAGGTGTCGTTCTGGAAACGCTGGGATCCCGTAACTCACTTCCTGAGTTGGTGGACTTTAAACTTTTTGGAAAGACCATTTTAGTGGTAAATAAAAAGTTCAAACTTTTTTTGGCCAGTCAACTTGGGAAGTGAGCTTATTGTGAACTCTTTCCACTGTCAAGGTCAGGCATTGGTTAGAATCACAGAGTTGTTTGGGGCGAAGGCTGTGGAATGGACGGCAGAAAGCAAATGATTAGAACCAAGCCGAACCAGGGGAGCCGATAGAAGGCCTTTGGGTCCTGAACCCTGCAACCTTTGGGTTGTAAAGGCGTGGTTCAGGCCCTGGTTTGCCGCTGCACTTCCCGTTGACACGGGCCCATTTTTTGGGGCCCTCAACGAAAGGCACGCCCACATCTCGTGGTAAAAGCTGGTTTATAGATTTCTGAAAATGCGAGCTATGACAGAACGTTGGGAGAGAGAGCCACCAAAGGCCCAGCACAACGTTCATACATCCAGCGGCTGAGAAGCAGTCTGAGGGTTGATGCACTTGCCGGAGCCAGTTGCCCAATTGAAAAATAGCTATGGCTTTTGCTGCTTTCTGTGATACTAAGGGAACACCCTTCAACATGATGGAAGTAGTTATCGGTTATGGGAACGACCCGCGCGGGTATTACGGAAAGGTTGATGCAGGGCCTGGGCGACGTGCACTTGGCTCAGCTTCCAAGAAATGAACAAAACCAGCAACAGGAGTCCGACCATGGGGTCGGAGGGTCTCAAGACCCATTGACGCAGCTTACGCAAGCTACCTCAGGTCTGCGCCTGCGTGGCAATGCCAAAGCCATGGACATCGCCAAGCTTTGTCACGACCAGACGTGGCTGATTCGGGAGCAGGCAGGCCAAGAATATGTTGGCCCGTTGTGCCCTTTTGCTTTGACATGCAACAACGTAAGCATTTGGGACATCGCGATTGTCCTGAATTGAGCTGTAAGTATTGAAGCACATCCAATGCTACAGTTCGAGGGTGAAGCGCAACTTTTTTCACCACCAATTTTGAAGGTTCCCCATCTCCAGAAGCATTTTGGAATCGAAGGTGTTCAAAGACCGATTTTCTCATGCCGACCTCCAAGGCAAACCGCAGACGAAGCAGCTGTGCAATGATTGCAGACCTGGGTTGGCAAAAAGTAGAAGGGCATAGGTTTCCTTTTTGGGGGGGTTAAAAGTACAGGCCCCTGGTTTACCTTGTGGTTCAATCATGTACCAGGGCCATCTATTTTCCAAGAAGGACATTTACGTAGAAGGAGGTGTAGTTCAGCTGCAGACCCAGGCATATTGAACATGTGCCTGGGCGAAGGGGAGGTCTTGCGTGGACGCGTGGAATTCTGACCGCTGGATGGCCGTTTGATTTTTGTGACTCTTGGTTTTCCACCTTGATTTCGGCAACTTGCTGCCGCTCCTGTGATCTAGATTGCAATTAGTATGCTGACGACTGCATTGGCATACCAGAACTCGAAGCCTTGCGATTGTTTCAGGCCCTGTTGTTTGTCAAGATGGCAAATAAAGTGCTTTTGCTGTACGTCCCAGTCCCTTCCACTTGAGGCATGGGACCCTTTGTACTTTGGTTTTTAGAATTGCCGCAAGGCAAATGGCACCCTTTTGCAAGGGAAGGACTCTTTGCTTCAGGCCTTGTCCCGTGTTTGCTTTTGTTCCGATATCAGTCTTCCGCCACGTCCCGCAATATTATTCCCCAGTAGTCAAGGTGCAGCCTTCTCTTGGTCGCAGGCTCGCTTCTGGGAATTTGTGGAGTGCGAGCTGCATGCACTACAAGAGCAGGTTGCAGGATAGCGACTTGGACTACCAGTTGCGTCGCAGTGCTGTTCTCAAGCTGCGGTTGGGTTGCATTGCTCTGCTTGCTTGGCTTATGATTGCTCTTGTTTGCGTTGCTTGCCTTTGCTTGCTTCGCTCGACTCTACCAGATTTGCTTTGCTGCTAAGCCAAGCTTGCGTGCTTTTTTGTGTAGACTATTTGGCTTTGCTTTGCTTGTTTCTTGGCGTGTTTTCCACACTTGCCTTTGTCTGGCCATCCTTTGCTTTGCCTTGCTTTGTTTGACTCCGTTTAGCTTTGCTCGGCTTTTGCTCTGCCCAGCAACAACCTTTTATTAGCAATGACGTTTTCTTTGTGGTGTTTCCTTTCTCAGGTGTGTTTACAGTTGGTTGGATTGTTTGCTTGCCAGAGTTCTTCCCAACTGTTTTGCTGGTCTTTGTGTTGGTCCGTTCCATGTGTCCGTCTGTTTGTTTGGCTGTTTGCGTGTGTGTGCTCATGTTGACAGAAGGTGCTTGTCTTTTTTGGTCCTTGGTGTTGTTTGCTCACCTTTTTTTCTTGAAAGCTTGTTTTTTGCTTGTTTGATTGCTTGTGTGCATTGCTTGCCTGCTTGCCTGCCTACTTGCTTGCTTCCCCGCCTGCCTGCTTGCTTTGTTTGTTTGTTGCTTTGTTTCCTTGCTTTGTGTAGATTTTGTGTTTGTCTTTGTGGGGAGTTTGTTTGTTTGAATAGCTGACTCATTGATCTATATTACAGTTTCGTCTGCCAGTTGGCTTTGTTGCCTGCTTGCTAGCGTGCTTGCTCGGTTGCCTGGTTGCCTGGTTGGTTGGTTGGTTGGTTGGTTGGTTGGTTGGTTGGTTGGTTGGTTGGCTCGTTTATCGGTTGATCCTTTTGCTTGATGGATTGGATGTTTCTTGTGATTTGTGGCTTTGGATTAGTTGCTTTAGATTGATTGGTTGATTGCTCTCTTGTTTGCTTGGTCGATTGGCAGGCTGGTTGGTTGATTGGTTGATTGATTGGTTGGCTGGTTGATTGATTGGTTGATTGGTTGAGTGTTTGATTGATTGACGAATTGGTTGGTTGCGTGCTTGCTTGCTTGCTTGATTGATTCGTTCATCCATCCATGCAATCATTAACTTATTCACAGATTCTTGAGGCGGGTTTATTTGGACTTGGTTGGTTGGTTGGTTGCTTGGTGGTTGCTTGGTCGATGGACTGATTGATTGAGCCGCTGGCCGGGCCTAAGGACAGAGGGCCTGGATCTCTCGCAGGCTCGTGCCGGAGCAGTTCCCTTCGGCCATTCGCCACTGGCAATTGGGCCCAAAAGTTCGTCTCACCTGCCACAGGGATGGTTTCCCTATGGCTGCAATGATTTGCCGTCCAAGCATCGAGTGGCATTGCACTGTCACTTGCACGAATCTGTGACTTGCCTTCGTCCAGCCGCAAAGCTGGCAGGCGCACTGGCAATTGCTATCAATGAACGTTGGCTTTCTGAAGCGTGGCTTTCAAACTCTGACCTGGTAATTGTAAACGCTTCGCGTTGCCCGCCTCGGCCCAGCCTAGTTTGAGGGAAGGGTCAGGAACACCGAAATCCAGTGTTGGGAAGGTCCGAATACCTGAAGCTGGCTTCAGACAAGTCAGACAAGCCGGCCTCGCCTGGTTGGGCTGGGCCACAGGCTAGTCTCAGACACATCAGATAAGCCTGCGCTGGGCCTGAAGCTAGTCTCGGGCAGCTTGGCTGGACCTTGCTTGCGTGGGTTGTTGGTTGAGCTGAAGCTAGTTTACGGCGGGCTGGGCAGCCGCACTGAGGGGGCTGGGCTATGGCTGGGCTGGGCCTGGGCCAGTTTCAGACACGTCAGACAGGCCTGGCCAGCAGGCGGACTGGGGCTGGGCTAGACGCTAGTTGAGCCCAGGCTGGTGAGGCCCAGTCTCGGCGCTAGATAGCCTGCGAGTCTCAAACCGGGTGGGCTTGGGTGGGGTTGGCTTAGGTAGTCTCAGCCACGAGGCTGCGAAGCCATGGGTGGTGCTGGGCAGCTGGATTATGGTGTTGGTTGCGCCTGGAACTTCGGCTGGCTGGGCTGAGCTGTGCTTGGGCGGGTCGCTGGATGGGCTGAGGCTGGGTAGCGAGTTGCTGGCCAGGCCGGGCCTCAGCCCAGTCGCAGACACGTAAGACACGCCAGCAGGCGGGCTGAGGGACTGGGCCTGAGGCTAGTCTCAGGCTGGCATACCTTGAGACCAGTCTCAGACTGCGCTGAAGGGGCCTGGTCAGCCTGGGCTGCTGAGTAGCTGGCATAGCTTGAGACCAGTCTCAGACTGGTCGTTGGCCTGAGGCCAGTCTCAGACACGTTAGACAAACCACACTGGGCTGAGCCTGCTGGTCTGGGAGTTGGGGGCTGGTAGTGGCTGGCATGCTCTGAGATGCGCTGGGGCCTGGGCTGGGCAGGCTTTTGGGCTGGGCCTGAAGCTAGTCTCACACAAGGCTGCGAAGCCATGGGTGGGTTGCTGGCTGCCGGGCAGCCGGACCAGGCTGCTGGTTGTGCCTGGAACTTGGGCTGGGCGGGCTGGGCTGAGCTGTGCTTGGGCGGGTTGCTGGATGGGCAAGGCCTGTTTCATACACACTTGGGCCTGAGGCTGGGTGGCAAGTTGGCTGGGCTGGGCCTGAGGCCAGTCGCAGACACGCCACACTTTGAGACGGGGCCTGCTGGCTGATTTGGGGCCAGACGCGAGCAGGAGGTCAAGGTCTGGCCAGCCTGGGCTGAGTTGCTTGGGCAGCCGGACTGAGGGCTGGGCCACGTCAGACGGGCTTGGTGGCTGGCATAGCTTGAGACCAGTTTCAGACACCGTTGGCCTGAGGCCAGTCTCAGACACGTTAGACAAACCTGACCTTGGGGCCGGCCTGGCTGGGCTGGGCTTGCTGGATGACTTGGGGTAGGCCTGAAGCTTGGGCCTGAGGCTGGTGGGCTTTGGGCTGGGCCTGAGCCTAGTCTCAGACACGTCAGGCAAGCCTGGCCACCAGGAGGTCATGCTTTTCAGGACAAAAAAGCATTTTTAGCAATTGTCAGCACATTTTCGACAAAAATGGACCCATGGAGCTGGACGCCGACGAACCCCGAAAATTTCAAGGCCCGCCGGACAGGATTTTGGGTCCAGCCGACATGGGTTGGGGGGGGCGGCCCGGCAAAATTTTGGTCGGGGAGGGGGTTGGGGGAGGGGAAAAGCGAAGATTCTCTTTGGAGAAGAGATCTGAGCGCCCTTGGCCCCTTTGGGGCCGAGGCGAATTTGTTGGCTTCGTTACTGTCTGAGTGTGCGTGTTTTTGGCATGTCTAGTTCTTCCACAACTAGTATCAACCATTATTGAATGACCCTTTGGGTGTTACTTTCCATTCCGATCGGTGTCATTTTGACTGTAATGGTTAGCTCTTCGGGGCCAGCTGTTGTTCTTTTTCATCAGTGTTGCAAAGGACGCCAACGGAAAAGAAGGACTGGCAGAAACTGCCCTCCTTCATGCTTGTGTTCTTACATTTAGCGTTTCTTAGTTTGAGAGCAGCAAAATTGCCTGCCATCTCACAACCTGAATGCGGAGGGGTCACTTACACGCGGGCTTGCTAAAGGCAGTGGGGCCACTAAAACATGAGTTGGCCCATGGCGGTGGCCTTAGTTGGTGATTCCGGAAGTAATCGTGCTTTACTTCCAGGTTGGATGTCTGTTCGCTCACGCTGGCGGTGAGTGAAAGTTTGGCTTACTTTCAACACCTCAACCCCAATAGGACCAATATGAGAGCTGCATTTCACATGATGGCCATGGGCCCGCCTCTGACGCGCTTTTTGACCTCCTTCAGCATCTGAAGGTCTACTAAATATGCTATCCAGAAGCTGAATGTTTCGGACACGCCTACCAATTGCTCTTGGGGGGCGCCGTGCCGGCGTAGCCCCAATCTGCAGGCAGGGCTTCACCAAGAGCTCACTCTGTGTCAAGCAGATCATTTTCCGATGTCCTCTCAAACCCCTGGTTCTTGTAAAAGGAAGGTAAATGGGAAACCACCCCGGCAAACCTTCATTATCGCCAGTTGAAAGATCAATTTGCCCCACGGTTTCTGGGAGGAACGTCAGGGGAAGCCCTGCCTGGCCCCACAATCTAGCCAATCTAACACCTGGCGACGGACCATTTCCCACACTTGCAATGGCATGCATTCAAAACAGCGGCGTCCGCGAGTTGCTGGGCGTGTCGGGCTGCAGAGCTTGACGGTGAAGGAGCTGAGCAAGAAGGATCATCAAGGACGTGCCCCTACTCGGGACCCTTCTGCTTCCATCTGCTTGTTTCTCTGCACTAAGCTGACAAGAGCAACACGTTAATAGCTTGTGAGGGTGAAGTCTGGAATGCATAGCTCGTGCAAAGATGCATACAAGCCACAAGGAAGACCCGACCATTTGAACGGCCCAACCTATTGGTCCAAAGCGTCGACCTTTCATTTGCTTTGCTGCCATGGCTTAGACGAACGACTAAGCTTTAATCTGTGATTGGTTGTGACAAGCGAGTTCATGTATTTGTAAACGTGAATCTATCATGGTTTGTTACCAACATGGTTTCGCACTTTCAGAGGGTCGATTCACCAACATGAAGCGCTGGATTCAAGTACTTTCAGAATCAGCCCGAAACTGAAACGCTGGCAACACCTGGAGACCTGGCAAAAAAATATTTGTGACCGACTCCCAGTCTGAAATTCATGGAGCAAGTTGGGATCACCGTGGCCACCTGGTGTCCTCATGCGTGGGTCACTTCAAAGGATCCACCTGCCTGAAGGGACGTGCCCTGGTGTTCCCATGGCGGGACTCGCGATTGCTTTTCAAGATCGGCTCAATCATCCTTTTTCCAATATTGTCAGGTAGCCCTTAGTTGGTGGTTGGATCGGTGGCTTGGGGTTGGATATGCTGGGGATTTGACACCCCGGTTCTTGTAGAAGGTACGTGGGGAACCCCTCCTCAACCGCCAAGCACCAATCCAAATCACCAACTAGGGGGAAGCTGATATTGACCTTCTAGAATCGAAGGCTCGACTGAAAATTGAGCGGAACTCGTTTGACTCCAAGTTCCTCTCAGCCCTTGTGCATGGCGGGTTCCCCTTTCACATCCACGCGCCTTTTTTCTCCCTTCTCTCCCTAGCAACACAAGGGCAGACCCTGTTTCAGGTTGCTGCGAACAGGGAAACCAGCGGAGAAGCCACCATGTCCCCCCCCCCTTGGAGGAACCCCCCGGCTCCTTGGTCAGGCAGGCACCACCACGGCCCCCGCCGGCGTGGTGCGCAGTGGGGGCGCGGGAGGTCTGCAGAACCTGATCCGCGCCTTTCAGGCGAAGCGATTCGGCGTCGATTCGGCGCGTGTTGTTTGGCCCTCGCGCCATGGCCTGCCCTCGAAAAAATCAGAGCGTATGGGACACCGTTCGTGGAGAAAGTTGGGATCACCAGCGCCGAAAAGGTTCCGTTGCAGTTGTTTTGCAACTAGTTCTGGATGGTTTCCACGTTGTTTTTTTTAATAGTTCCTAATAGTCCCCCACAGACCCCTGGGCCCAACAGATAGACAAGCCCATGGTGTCCCAGAGTCGTTTAGCGCGGTTTTTGCCAGGTGCGAGGCCACGAGGGCGCTAAGCTGGACCCCTTGGGCCTGCACGCCTGGCGCAAGTGGCAGGAGAAGGCCCCGCAGAAATACACCCGTTGCAGAAACTAAACGAGGCAAACACTGGGATATATAGGGTGCCTGGTGTGGGGGGGGGGGTTGTGCGTGTTGCAGGGTGGGAGTAGTTTGAGGCGTCTGAAGAGTCACCTGTGGTGATACGGGTAGGTATTGCGATACATTGCAGTGTCCAGCATGGTGCTCCCGAATGCTATTTAATTCTTTCATGACGGCTTTACTTCTTTTGACCTTGAATTGGCGGGTGCGCGTTTGTCCTGCCGGCAAACAACTTGAGCCGTTGCGCAGGGATCAGCCAGCGATGCAGTCTCACACTCATTTGCGACAGATGAGATCATATTCCGTGGGCCTGGCGTGATGGGTGTCTTTGTTTGACTCGGGTGGCTACAGTTACAACTCTGTGTGCGTGTGTCTCCCGGCACCGGGCGCGGGCTGATGTGAACCCCCCCGATCAAGCCAGATGTTCACCTCAAGTTCTGCGCGCGTGTGAAGAGCAATGCACCGGGCTGCAGCTTTAGCTGGGTTGGGGAGCAAATGGGCATTACACTCCACAGGCGGCATGTGGTGCCTACTTCTGCGGGCGGAAAGAATGCAAGGCGACGGAAACTCCATCCAAGCAGTACCCTGCGCACGCATTTGCACATCTCACACAAGCATCCTTCTCATTCCGCCCAACCAATACAGCCATGGTGCCAATCATTCGGACCAATGATGCTGACCAACCATACCAACCACTCCAACCATGTTTCCAGTTTTCTGAGAAAAGCAAGGAATCCACTGGGCCTCAGCAAAAGAGACCACGCGAGTGAGCCTCCGCCACGACTCGCTTCCTTCCCGCCATGCGCGGGCCGGATGCCATGGCTGCACACCTGGAGCCTCGCGTCAGCATCGTTGAGAAAAGAGCTTACAGTTGCCATGCAAGCCACGGGTGGTGTGTGCGGGTGTGTGTGTGTGTGTGTGGGTGTGCGTGCGTGCGTGCGTGCGTGCGTGCGTGCGTGCGTGCGTGCGTGCGTGGGTGGGTGGGTGGGTGGGTGGGTGGGTGGGTGTGTGTGTGTGTGTGTGTGTGTGCGTGTGTGCGTGTGAGAGTGTGAGGGTGTGTGTGTGTGTGGGTGTGTGTGGGTGGGAGAGTGTGTGTGTGTGTGTCAGTTTGTTTGTTTGTTTGTTTGTTTGTTTGTTTGTTTGTTTGTTTGTTTGTTTGTTTGTTTTGTTTGTTTGTTTGTTTGGTTCGAAGAGCAGCCAAGAGCAACATTATGATTTTGTGATTTCTCCGATTTTAATTTTGACAGTATATCCAAGGTGAACCAAGGGAAAACCAAGGGAAGCCAGGAGCACGATAGAGGGAGAATCGCTGCTTTCCTGCTATGGTGGCCTGGGGTCGGAACTTGTAAAAAAGAGCGTTTTCTAGGCCAGTTGACTGTTGCTTCCATTTGCTTAAGAATATGTTTTAGTTTCCTTGTTGGTTTTAAAGGGAATCTACCACTACTGGAAATATGTTAAGCAAATGAATGGTTGGCTTCCAGAGTCGGTTGGTGAAAGCTTCCTTGGACTGGTTGCTTCAGTTGGTGAAATGGTCTCAGTCTTCCAGGTGGCACACGTAGAGCATATCTTCATATACCATCAGCCAGCATAGTCCGAGCTTTGCTATAACAGAGCATCAAACCACAAGAAAAGGAAGTTGGTTTGGATTGTTTTCCTTCAGGGGCCAAAGTTCTCTTGCTGGTGCTGAGTAGGGCATGTGAAAATGAAATCAAGGGTGCCCTTAAAAGAAACCGCCAGTTGGATGGTTTATTCCATTTCTCATTTTGTGCATCTCTCACACCGACCACAAGTTCTACCCTTAAAAACCGCTTTTGGGTTTTTGGAGTGACGCACATGACACACCTCAGGCTGGTGCGACAGGTGGCGGCAGCGGACGTCAAGTCCAAGGGCCGCGCTGGGAGGCTTGGCTCAGGTCTACTGGGACCCGGATGAAACCCGTCCTACTCATAGGCGTCACCCACCAAGCCGAAGGATTCCACTCAGGGGACAGCCCCATGCCACGGTTTTCCAAAGATTTGGGGTGAGCATTTCAGATCTTCCACACAACTCCTCATGGATGATGCACTATCTTGCCCAACTAACATGGGACCCGACTGGATCTTGGAAGACCGTTTTCCTCCAAAAGGGCCAGGAGTGGTCAAAGCAGAAACCCTCGAGCATTGACAATCCCAAAGCAGAATCTTGGGAGAGCATCATCAGGCAACCCTAAACGAGTTCTAATATCGGGTTCCATCTTGCACAAGGATAAACATGTGCGTGGCATCCTAGAGCCGGTTTAGGCTCACCCAACTAACGCCGCGCCCTGTTTGCATGTCCAGCTCCAAGTGGCAGTTGGTTGGTAAGCTCCCAATGTGCGGTGTGTGTAGGTGTCGGGATTTCTTTTAGGAGTGATATTAAAGAGAAAACCCAAACAAGTTTTACGGGGAGTGTTTTTAAGGGGAGGGCCCCAAAGGAAGCTCATCATTTCCTACTTGACACGCCCATGTCGGGCAACTTGACACGCCCAACCCGAGGATCCCGCCGGAGCTTTCAGCGCCAGTGCTGGCGGCGATCGCGCTGCAGGCCCGTCAGCGCGCGGCCGAGGCAGCGTCAGCCGCTTCCGCCCAGGCGGCCCTCGGGATCCGCACCTGGGGGAAGCCTAAGACGCACATGGGTATGGGTGTGTCCCTTTTCTAGGAACCGGACCCCCCCAAAAAAGTAGAAAATGGCACAACGGTTATCCCCTTTACTTCCCAACACAAAGGGAATTGTGCCATCCGCTTTCACCATGATCAATTGCTTGTTTCATCTCGGTGTTTGTTTTCTTGACATTTCAGACAGGATCCAGCCCCTTGCGTTTGAGGGTTTCTGTTGCTCCAAAAGGCAAACCACATTTGTTTGGGGTCGTCAAATTTTGATACATGCCAACATGAGGCCCCAATAAGTCCTTGTTTGGAGATGGGAGGGGGCTTGTGGGCCGGAGTGCGCGGGCCCTAGGCCCTCAGCGAGCAGGCGGCCCAAGCAGCTGCGACGCCCCTGCCGGTGCCAAGCCGGCGAGAGGTTGTAGCTTGGCAGAGCTCCCCGCACCCTGACCTCCTTCACCCCCAGAAGGCTGAGTCATTTAATAGGAGGGGGGTCTTTAGGTCGTCATTTTCGCCTGAAGCACCTCTGGAAGTGGTTGAGGACAAATGGTTCACTTCTTGAAGCAGAGAGCGGTCCTTGTGAGAAAGTGCCCAGCCTCGTTCTTGCAAAGGCTTCGCAGCAGTTTGGCTTTGAACTCAGGAGCGTTTTGCGGCAAACGTTAGACTTGTCGCAGGGACATACATGCCCTTCAGCTGGGACGACTGTAGACATAATCCTGTGTATACGTGTATATATATATATATGTGTGTGTGTGTAGGTATTTGTACATGTAACCCCCCCCCCCCCGCAAAAAGAAGAAGAAGGGAGAACAAGAACAACAGCACCGATTTGATTTGTGACGGAATGAAACAAATCAGAGAAGGATGGAGTTCTTCTTTGCACGCCGTTAATCCCTAGGAAATGCATAGGGAAAGAAGGCAAAAACAATGGCAATACCTATTAATGATTACAATGAGAAGGGAGGGTGTACACGAAGATTAACGCAACAAGTTCTCTCCATGTTCCCCCGTGAGGCCCTTCGGAGCTGCAAAGATATGGCCATCCAGGTGCAGCGCTTGGAGCCTTGGGTCACAGTGATTTAAGTCCGATTGGCCCATTTGCGACCCGCTTCTCTTGAGTTTCAAAAGGGCTTTCTTTGCGCGCTTTTTTTTTGGCGCAAATCAAGACAACAGGTTGCCCAGAAAGCCCTTTCTCGTCTTGAGTGTGCCCGGGAATCCCTCTATCCGGCGCCTTTGCCGGATTGAGCAGGGAGGGGATGGGCGATGACTGGCTCAGCTTGTGCCAGGCGGGCGATTCCTTGGACACTGAGACAAGGCTAGGGAGTGGCCGCCGTGGGCAACGTCAGATTTTTCGGATCTGCCATCGGTGGACACAAATCCCCCACATAAAAACGACATGGCTGCCAAAAGATCCTGAATTCAAGATCATGGTCTTGTGTAGAAGCCAGCTTGCATGCAAGTGGGTGGGACTCTGCTCACTCTGGGGGTCTTCGGTCCGAGTACATTTGGGTTACAGATGCTTGAATGTTTTTTGAAGTACGCAGTGCAAGTAAAGGCATAGACTGACCAGCGGTACCTACGTGACCTCCGATACATGCCGATTCAGTGGCCCGGTTGCCAAAAGGCCTTGGGGCCAAAGTTGGCATCGCTTGGAGTCATGGCCTGGGGTTGGATCCACAGCTATGGAAAGCACTAGCCCCCAGCTAGGTGCCCTTCTCTCCCCTTTTTGGGGAGGGTTCCCCTACTAAAAGAAACAAGTTGATACCCTTATTCTAAACTCTCTAATGACCTGCAGAAGCCGGACCCCCCCCGAAGTTTTGTAGGGAGACGTTTGGGGGGGTCCATCCTGACTCAAGTCTTTGGGCGCGGCTCCCGACATCATCAAAACACCGGGGGAAACATATCACCACAGTGTTGTTTTTCATCAGGGCAACCAGTCTGTCAATGGGGGTTGAACTCCAGGAAGATCCTTCCCTTCGATTGAAAGTGTGTTTCAAGGGTTGGGGAGCAGCAAGATGAAGCAAGTCCAGCAATCAGCTTGGTAGCGTATTTCATCAGGTAGTCCCTCCCTTAGTCTTTGGTTCGGCCTTCAACCCCTCGACTTCAAATCCAACATGTTAAGCCTTAGTGCTTGGAACATGGTGGCTTCACCCGCATCTCAAACCTTTGCAGTGCTTGGAACACGGTCGTTTCGCACTGGTTGGGTCGTTTACCCCGTTCAGGCCAGAGCCGCCGGTGCTTCCGGCGCTAGCCGTGGAGCCAGAGCGCGAAGTGGAAGTGGACGAGGACCAGCTGTCGGGTGGATGGCTAGGGGGGGTGTCCCAGAACCACCCAGGACCCGATGTGTTTATTTTTTGCCAAGCCGTCGCCAGGGGTGCCAGGCTTCAAGTGGAATAACTGCGTGCCCCCGGAGTACGTGCCCCCAACAAAGACACCTTGCGTATCCCCTGGGTGGTACCTCCGGCTTGACTTTGGTGCATTTGGCTTGGATGTTAGAACTTTAACTTTGTGCCAACTACTGGGTTTTCCATTAAACCACTGAAAAGTTAAAAACTTTTAGCAGGGGAGCAGAGCGCAACCGAGTTGAGGCACGTTGCTTGCGGGGCACGTTTGGGGTGTCGCCCCGTGCACGTACGCAGGACGGCTCCCCCATGCCAGTAGCGGAGCACCGCTTCGTGGCCGTGGACGGGGTGGGTGGCCGAAGAGCTATTCCGATTTCAGCAGTTGATGGCAGGATTCATAACCTCCATTTGCTTAATAAGATTTGGTTTTTCCTTGTTGGTTTTAAAGGAAATCTATCACTACTGGAAGTATTTTATATTTTTCCCAGGGGGCTCTACTGCAAATGGAAGAAAAGCCCCTGGATGAGTTGGGGGTCCCGGTCCCATTCTGGAAGCGGTCCTTGGTAGGTGCCCTCTCAATTAGTTTGACAGATTGCTGAATGAAGGGCGGGCGATCTTTTTTTGGAGGTGAAACCTGCGCTAGGTGATCACCTGGGCCACACCACTGCCCAAGGGATTGAGCCTGAAACCAAGTGCAACATTGCCTTGGCCTGCCCGCAGCGAATCTTGTGGTTTCCCAGCTTTGGTGTTTGCCGTCTTTCCTGCCATGAAGTTTACCATTGAGGACGTGAGCTACGCACTTGACCAAAAAAGGCCGATCCAGCTGGATGGGCATGCTAATTCCCACTGCCTTCTGCTTGAGCCCTGCTTCTTTCCTTTTGCTGGGCCTACATTTCTTATGGGTGTCCATGGGTTTTCGTGCGGTTTCCAAGTTTCCGGGTTTCCACGGGTTTCCCGCAGATTTCCCTTTTCCACCACACCTCCCCTCAAGAGGATCCCCAAGCCCTGCCGGGTCGGATCCCAACCGGCGAGGAGCCGCCGGCCGCGATGCTGGAGCTCCGCCAGTTGCTGGAGGAAGCCACAAGTCTGGGCCCGGAGCTCCCAAAGCACCCGCAGCTGGCAGGGGCACCTCGGAGTCGGAGTCTGCCGGCGCGGTGCTGGGGATCCCAAGTTTTACATGGCCGGTGAAAAATGGGTACCCAAAATCGATCCCTAGAAAATGGAGACATGTTTAATTTTGACCCATACCCACATGACCCACATGTTGCATTTGTTGCGGGGTTCCGGTCCAGTTCAAAAATAATCAACGAGATTCTGTTTTTGGAGGGGATGAGGCAGGTGGGGTCGAGGGATTGGAGGTCGGAAATTTTGCGGTCCAGGAAGCCTTTGCCGTCGGATCACCGAACCGAAGCTTCTGTCTTGAAAACGCCTCTCTTCGGGTCTTGAAATTATGGGACACAGAAATTGTAGACGCTCATACGTTGATAATTGTGCTACATGCAGCAGGTGTTTGCTCGGTCTTCCTGAAACAGACTACCCCAATAATTTATTCAATCCCTTTTCCAACAACACCGCCGGAGGAATTGCGTAGGTCGCAAGCAAGTGTGTGTTGAAGATGGGTATTCTCAATTTTCTAGGGGTTGATTCCCCATTCTTTTCAACCATCGTTCTTTTCAAGAACCAGCCGTTTTTCATGGGATTCTGGAGGTGTTCTAGAAAGAAGGATCCCTAGAAAGAATGGGGAAGGTACCCCTAGAGATTTAGGCAACATGCTGCAAGGCAACATAAGGCAACCATGACTGAACCGGAGACCCCCATCAGTTTTGCATGCTCCCAGCGTGCAGCCCTCTCGGCTTTCAGAGACCTTGGGAGCCTTAGGTAAGTCGTCAGGCGCCCTCATTGTCCAGAGAGAGAGAGAGAGAGAGAGAGAGAGAGAGAGAGCCAGTGGTGCCCTTTCTTTTACAGGAGAGGTGTTGCTTGGATTTCAGCACTTTCATGCCCACAAGGTGCCTGTGTCTTCTCATGTTCTCATGTATTGGAGCCTCCTTAGCACGCATGTTGATCAACCCTCGAGGGTTTATGTTTTGGGCTGGTAGTTGTCGTTTTAAACGGGTGCAATGGTTGCTCGTTTGTTTCATGTCTGTCTCGCCCATTTCAGAGAAGTCCGTGCTTTCCCGAGGCCTCTGAGTTGTTTTCCTGGTCCTTTGGTCGCGTCAATCGCTGGAAGGGTGGCCAGTGGCACCGCGAAAGAACGGCCGCACTCAGGACGTCACGCGGCTACTGGCAGAGCTGGAGTCAGCTGCCGCTGAGCTGAAGGAGTTCAAAGGATAGGTTCAACGACGGGAGCGAGCAAGCAAGCGAGCGAGCAAGCAAGCAAGCAAGCAAGCAAGCAGATAAGCAAACAAACAGAGTTTGGTGTGCAAAGCCCGCACTGTCCAAAAGGAAAGGTTGTGTATTTGCCAAATGCTTGTGGGGACTGCGGTTATATAATATGCAGTTATGCAGGTTCCATACTACCAACATCAACCATGGGGTTCTTGGAGACAAGCAAGCACATTACCAGCATCCTCGACAGGGTTGGGTAAACACTATCCCGTAGAAAGAACTTCATCCCGGCACTCCCATTGTCAGGAGACCTGGCCGACTGGTTCTCATACACATGTTTTTGTTCTTTTGTTTCTTCTTCTTCTTCTTCGTTTTTTTCTCCTCTTTGGAAGGAACCCATTTGTGCCAACCCACTGAGGGTGACCGAAGCCGTGGGATCACGACACTGCCGTGGCTGCCGTGGCTCAGGTCCTGGAGCATGTGGTGGAGGATGCCGCTGCAGCTGCCGCAGAGCTGGCAAGCCGCAAGGAAGCCGCAGGCAGGGAGCTGCTGACAAGTGGTGCCTAGACTTCTTCTTGGGTGCTATTGGCTTGCATCTTTAGACTTTAGCTGTTTGGGAAAGCAAGTGGGGTTTTCCACTAAACCCCTGAAAAGTTATTCACTTTTTGCGGGGGGGGTCAACAGCAACCGAGTCTCGTTTTGATCGTTTCAAGGCCCCTGTAAGGCGGAGTGCCCGTTTTGGCAGGGGCGATGTTTTGAGGAAGAAACATGGTAGGAAACCCAAGAAAACTGGGGAGCTACTTGAAGTTGTTCAGTGGGTTCTATCCCGTAGGTGTCGTTTTTGGCTGGGTTTGGGGCCGACTAAAAAGGGTCAAGCCCAAAAGCACCTTGGAATTAACTGATCTGCTTGACAACTGTTGACAACTGGTTGGCCTTAAGGCCAAGGCCTCACGCCAGGTGCAGGTGCTGACAGGTTCGACACCGCGCAGGACTTCGTCGACAGCTGCCGGCAATTCGAAGATGAGCTTTGCAAGAAGTACGGGGTCGCAAAAAGATAGAAACAAAAGTGCGCTCTGCTGTCCATCCGGAAAGGGGATTGATGTTGCAGGGCCAGGCTGGTGTGGCAAATGGTTCACGCGTTTCAAGATGTAGAGGCTTTGCATTTGTTCCAAGATGCAGTGTGAGATCAGTCGCAACTGTTCATGCCTGGCAACTGAGTCCCTTTGATTTGACTTGATTCCGCCGAGACGGTTTATTGATGCCAACTCCTTGGAAGACCCTGCCTCGTCTTTTAATGTTAACCCCGGATTAATAAACCCCTGGTTGATCAATAGGGGGTGTCCCCTTTCAGTGGGGATTCATCACTGTTGGAGGGAACACCCCCCCCAATACTGGGAGGGGTTTATTGATCCTGGGTAACATTAGGGGTTGCCGGACGCATGGAGGGGTTGGCACGGATTCGGAAGCCCTTCAGGGCCTCTCCGAGTCTGCTCCGGAACTGGAGCCCAGCTGCTGGTTTGCATGGCGGGTTTCTTGGGGTGCCGGTGGGTTTTAATGTGGGGGAGGGTACTCTTCATGGCAAGGGGCAAGGAGACCGCACTGGGGGAGCCTGCCGTTGGACGTTTGGGAGAAGGTTCGAAAAAGGGTGGTTTTGCCAACACTGGTGTTCTCACACTCTCCTTTGGTTGTTGGTTACATTTGCGAGCCTGAAGCCTTGTTGCAACACGCCAGTGGCTCCTTGGTTTGCATGGCCATGTCGGTGAATTTGCCTCGTGCTTCATCCAGATTTACACACACAGACACACACAAACGCACACACACAGACACACACACACAGACACAGACACACACACACACAGACACACATACACACAGACACACACACACATACACACAGACACACACACACACACAGACACACACACACACACAGACACACAGACACACAGACACACACACACACACACAGACACACACACACACAGACACACACACACAGACACACACAGACAAACACACACAGACACACAGACACAGACACAAGCACACACACACACAGACACACGGACACACAGACACACAGACACACACACACACAGACAGACACAGACAAACACACACAGACACACAGACACAGACACAAGGACACACACACACAAACACAAACACAGACACAGACACAAACACAAACACAAACACAAACACAAAACACACACGCACACAAACGCGCAGACACACACACACACACAAACACACACACACACACACACACACACACACACACACACACACACACACACACACACACACACACACACACACACACACACACACACACACACACACACACACACACACACACACACACACACACACACACACACACACACACACACACACACACACACACACACACACACACACACACACACACACACACACACACACACACACACACCACACACCACACACCACACACCACACACCACACACACACACCACACACACACACACACACACACACACACACACACCACACACCACACACCACACACCACACACCACACACCACACACAACACACAACACACAACACACAACACACAACACACAACACACAACACACAACACACAACACACAACACACAACACACAACACACACACACACAACACACAACACACAACACACAACACACAACACACAACACACAACACACAACACACAACACACAACACACAACACACAACACACAACACAGAACACAGAACACAGAACACAGAACACAGAACACAGAACACAGAACACAGAACACAGAACACAGAACACAGAACACAGAACACAGAACACAGAACACAGAACACAGAACACAGAACACAGAACACACAACACACACGCGGGCACATGTTGCAGCTATTGCACCTGCACCGAGGCTTCCATGGCTTCACGGAAGCTGACATGGACAAGAAGTTTCAGGCGAGGCCTGCGCAAAATGCAGATGCTGAGCTTGAGAAGTTGAAAGTCTTAATCCCGGGGTCCCTGATTGGGGGGCTCAAGGCGGAAAAACCAACATATACCCATTTCGAGTTGCTGCCGGTGGTCGGGCACAAAGCCAACAACATAGCGTCATGTTTTGAGGTAGGTGTTAGTATTGTAAAGGAAACCAAAAGGACGCCGAAGCCCCAAATGGGTCCCCCTACTTTAAGCCAAATCCATGTCGACCACGCCGTGTGGAAACAATTGGCTTTTCCTAGTGGAAGACAAGCCCATTTTTCAGGTGAGTGTGGGGAACCTACACGGCGAGCACACCCTCACCGAGATCCTGCAGACCTTGCGCGCCACGTGCGCCGGGACCCGTAAATTACATGGCTGTGCTTGGTGGGTTCAAGGCGGATCCTCAGTTGTTCAGAACCAACCTTTGACTTTTAACCTTTTGGATTTGCCTTGTTGGTCCATTTGCAGTCCCAAGTGAGCAGCTAAAAGAAATACCATTATGTTTGTCCCCTTAGCTTGCCACTAGGGAAAAGAGAGGAAGGAGGCCAGGGAGAACTGGAAGAAGAATCACTGTGCCAAAAGGTTGGGTCACACTTTTTTGTGGTCCATAGTGCATTTGGGACGTGGAGACTGGATTTCTAAGTTAAAATGCCCGGGGACTGTCCAATTGGCTTGTCCATGGAGGGTATCGCAACAGTTTGATCGTGGCACAGATGCGTCACTGTGTGGTTTGCTTTGGGAAATGAAGCAATTTGGATGTGACTTTTCTTTGGCTGTGTCAAAGGAAACTGAAATCAAGCAATTTGGATGTTTTCAAAGGGAAATTGAAGGAAAACTACCCACCTAGACGGGTCCCTACTGTGAAAGAAAGCAGGCTAGTTGCGAGGGGCAAAAGGGAGCGTGCTGGGCAACTGAACCGTGACCCTTACAATTACATAGGGTTCGCGCTGCAACTGAACGGACCCCATGATATAATTATAGAACGGGCTACGCCCGGGTGCCGCCGACCCTGTTTTTTTTTGCGGGCAGTTAGCGTCCATGTGTTGCAGCGGCACTCGTCCCGCGCCATGGCGGGGGTCGGATCGCATAGAGCGCAGAGAAAAAAGCCCACCAGTTCCTGCGCAGGCAGGTTCGCGAGGCGTGTTTTTGCACATACAGCGCAGTCCAAAGACTGGCTTGCAACAGCATCTCGACGCAAAAGGCCCGCTAGGCACCCAGGAGGCGCCGGCGGAGAAAGCAGAATTTGAGTCAACATGTCAAGTCATTAGCTTCCATAAAAAGTCAACCAGGTCAAACCCAGCCCAGGCACGGCCGGGCCGCAGTCACGCAGAGGCGCGCCCCCCGCGCCCCCCAAAACGCCCAAGCGCAGTGGCAGGGCGTGCCCAAAAGTACCAAAAATGGAGCGAAAAGGCGTGTGCGGAGGGTGGCGGAACGGCAGTTTCGGAACCCGTTAGGAAGACTAGGAGGGGCCCGGGAGCGACAGGGGCCAGGCACGGCCGGGCCGCAGTCACGCAGAGCCCCCCAAAACGCCCAAGCGCAGTGGCAGGGCGTGCCCAAAAGTACCAAAAATGGAGCGAAAAGGCGTGTGCGGAGGGTGGCGGAACGGCAGTTTCGGAACCCGTTTAGGAGGGGCCCGGGAGCGACAGGGCCAACCCAGCCCAGGCACGGCCGGGCCGCAGTCACGCAGAGGCGCGCCCCCCGCGCCCCCCGAAACGCCCAAGCGCAGTGGCAGGGCGTGCCCAAAAGTACCAAAAATGGAGCGAAAAGGCGCGTGCGGAGGGTGGCGGAACGGCAGTTTCGGAACCCGTTACGAAGACTAGGAGGGGCCCGGGAGCGACAGGGCCAAACCCAGCCCAGGCACGGCCGGGCCGCAGTCACGCAGAGGCGCCCCCCGCGCCCCCCGCGCCCCCCGAAACGCCCAAGCGCAGTGGCAGGGCGTGCCCAAAAGTACCAAAAATGGAGCGAAAAGGCGTGTGCGGAGGGTAACGGCAGTTTCGGAACCGTTAGGAAGACTAGGAGGGGCCCGGGAGCGACAGGGCCAAACCCAGCCCAGGCACGGCCGGCCGCAGTCACGCAGAGGCGCGCCCCCCGCGCCCCCCAAAACGCCCAAGCGCAGTGGCAGGGCGTGCCCAAAAGTACCAAAAATGGAGCGAAAAGGCGTGTGCGGAGGGTGCGGAACGGCAGTTTCGGAACCCGTTAGGAAGACTAGGAGGGGCCCGGGAGCGACAGGGCCAAACCCAGCCCAGGCACGGCCGGGCCGCAGTCACGCAGAGGCGCGCCCCCCGCGCCCCCCGCGCCCCCCGAAACGCCCAAGCGCAGTGGCAGGGCGTGCCCAAAAGGCCAAAAATGGAGCGAAAAGGCGCGTGCGGAGGGTGCCGGAACGGCAGTTTCGGAACCCGTTTCCGGGAGCGACAGGGCCAAACCCAGCCCAGGCACGGCCGGGCCGCAGTCACGCAGAGGCGCGCCCCCCGCGCCCCCCAAAACGCCCAAGCGCAGTGGCAGGGCGTGCCCAAAGGTACCAAAAATGGAGCGAAAAGGCGTCGTGCGGAGGGTGGCGGAACGGCAGTTTCGGAACCCGTTAGGAAGAGTAGGAGGGGCCCGGGAGCGACAGGGCCAAACCCAGCCCAGGCACGGCCGGCCGCAGTCACGCAGAGGCGCGCCCCCCGCGCCCCCCGAAACGCCCAAGCGCAGTGGCAGGGCGTGCCCAAAAGTACCAAAAATGGAGCGAAAAGGCGTGTGCGGAGGGTGGCGGAACGGCAGTTTCGGAACCCGTTAGGAGGACTAGGAGGGGCCCGGGAGCGACAGGGCCAAACCCAGCCTAGGCACGGCCGGGCCGCAGTCACGCAGAGGCGCGCCCCCGCGCCCCCCAAAACGCCCAAGCGCAGTGGCAGGGCCCAAAAGTACCAAAAATGGAGCGAAAAGGCGTGTGCGGAGGGTGGCGGAACGGCAGTTACGGAACCCGTTACGAAGACTAGGAGGGGCCCGGGAGCGACAGGGCCAAACCCAGCCCAGGCACGGCCGGGCCGCAGTCACGCAGAGGCGCGCCCCCCGCGCCCGCAATGGCAGGGCGTGCCCAAAAGTACCAAAAATGGAGCGAAAAGGCGGAGGGTGCCGGAACGGCAGTTTCGGAACCCGTTAGGAAGACTAGGAGGGGCCCGGGAGCGACAGGGCCAGACCCAGCCCAGGCACGGCCGGGCCGCAGTCACGCAGAGGCGCGCCCCCCGCGCCCCCCAAAACGCCCAAGCGCAGTGGCAGGGCGTGCCCAAAAGTACCAAAAATGGAGCAAAAAGGCGTGTGCGGAGGGTGGCGGAACGGCAGTTTCGGAACCCGTTAGGAAGACTAGCGCAGAGGCGCGCCTCCCGCGCCCCCCAAAACGCCCAAGCGCAGTGGCAGGGCTTGCCCAAAAGTACCAAAAATGGAGCGAACGAAAAGGCGGTGCGGAGGGTTGCCGGAAACGGCAGTTTCGGAACCCGTTTAGGTTAGGAGACTAGGAGGTGCCCGGGGGGCGACAGGGCAAGCCCAAGCCCCAGGCACGGCCGGGCCGCAGTCACGCAGAGGCGCGCCCCCCGCGCCCCCCAAAACGCCCAAGCGCAGTGGCAGGGCGTGCCCAACCGTACCAAAAATGGAGCGAAAAGGCGTGTGCGGAGGGTGGCGGAACGGCAGTTTCGGAACCCGTTAGGAAGACTAGGAGGGGCCCGGGAGCGACAGGGCCAAACCCAGCCCAGGCACGGCCGGGCCGCAGTCACGCAGAGGCGCGCCCCCCGCGCCCCCCAAAACGCCCAAGCGCAGTGGCAGGGCGTGCCCAAAAGTACCAAAAATGGAGCGAAAAGGCGTGTGCGGAGGGTGCCGGAACGGCAGTTTCGGAACCCGTTAGGAAGACTAGGAAGGGCCCGGGAGCGACAGGGCCAAACCCAGCCCAGGCACGGCCGGGCCGCAGTCACGCAGAGGCGCGCCCCGCGCCCGCAATGGCAGGGCGTGCCCAAAAGTACCAAAAATGGAGCGAAAAGGCGTGTGCGGAGGGTGCCGGAACGGCAGTTTCGGAACCCGTTACGAAGACTAGGAGGGGCCCGGGAGCGACAGGGCCAAACCCAGCCAAGGCACGGCCGGGCCGCAGTCACGCAGAGGCGCGCCCCCCGCGCCCCCCAAAACGCCCAAGCGCAGTGGCAGGGCGTGCCCAAAAGTCAAAAAAAGGAGCGGAAAAGGCGTGTGCGGAGGGTGGCGGAACGGCAGTTTCGGAACCCGTTAGGATGCAGTCACGCAGAGGCGCGCCCCCCGCGCCCCCCGCGCCCCCCGAAACGCCCAAGCGCAGTGGCAGGGCGTGCCCAAAACTACCAAAAATGGAGCGAAAAGGCGTGTGCGGAGGGTGCCGGAACGGCAGTTTCGGAACCCACGAAGACTAGGAGGGGCCCGGGGGCGACAGGGCCAAGCCCAGCCCAGGCACGGCCGGGCCGCAGTCACGCAGAGGCGCGCCCCCCGCGCCCCCCGAAACGTTCAAGCGCAGTGGCAGGGCGTGCCCAAAAGTACCACAAATGGAGCGAAAAGGCGCGCGCGGAGGGTGCCGGACGCGCAGTTTCGGAACCCGTTACGAAGACTAGCGACGGTGGAGCGAGAGGCGCAGGCACGCACGCGATGAGACTTTCGGCGGCCCTTCGATGAGACCTTCGGTATCCCAGGCGCCGCCCCGCCAGAGCACGCTCCTAGGCGGGGTCGGCGGATAAAGTTTCTTGTCTTAGGGTTTTTTCCAAATCCGGGTTTGCTCATGAATTTACAGTGATTTGCCAAGATCGGCTTAGCCTAGAAGGGTCCCTTGAGGGTTTCTGCGCTGACCTTCGGGGTTCCTTCAGTTCGAGCCGACTGAGCGTCGAAATGTTGAGCCCTGTTGCAAACTTGGTTGATTCAATGGATTCGTTCAGAGTTTCGGGAGATCACTGCGGCCAGTTTCCCACAGATAATGTTTGTCAACTCACTTTGTGCAACCTTGCCCTCCCACCGAACATGAAACCTGACTGGGGGTTCCTGCAAGAACATGGTCCTTGAAAAGGGGACCCTTTGGTCCGGTGGGTTCCCTGTTTGATGGTGGGAAGGTGCCATTGCTTGCTGCTTGAACACTTCCTTTTCGAGGCCCACTCGGCTGGCTCAGTAGCCTACTGGCGGGCGCTTCCACGTGAGTAGGCTTCCAAATGAGCTTGCTTTGCGATTGACAGGTCGCCGTCATACGGGCCCACGCATAAGAGAACACATGTGGCAGCTTTCCGGCGCGGAAGTGCGCTGCGAAAGCCCAGGGTTGCGTAAGCTGCCCGTTTGCTCGCGAGCAACTCCCAGCTCGCGGTGACCAGGTACAGTGGCTCGATTGGCATCGAGCCACTCGGCGCCACGCGAGCGACGCGAGTGGGTTCTTCCTTGTTGGGGTGGGAGCTTTGGCCTTTGGCTCGCGGGGGTTGCTTGCCCAAATCCGACCTTGATTTTAACCTTCAGCTTTGTCAGTGCTGATATGGATTCATGGCCCCGGAAGGCGAAGCAAAGTTTGGCCTTGTGCTCACGTCCTTCGGCAGAAGAGTCTGGCGGTTTCCAGTTAAAGAGGAAGGCCGCCTGCAAGGGTGAACTTGTGTTTGAGCCCGCATTTGTTGGCATTGTCACGAGCCAGGGGTTTGGTCTGCTAGGACCCCTGGAGAATATGCAAAAGTAAACAAAGACACTGACAGGCACCCAAGCCTTTGGACAGGCCCAAGAAGCTTTTCTCCAGCCCCAGTTCCCCAGTAGCGCCCCTTTCTTCCTGCCGCAGATTGTCCCTTTGCCACCGGCAAAGGGTGGCCTTCTTTCCCGCCTAGTGGCACGTGGCCACGCGTTTTTTTTGGTCAACTGTCTGAACCGCCCGGTTCGGTGGTTTGACCGGGCGCTCCATAGGGAGCTCAAGGCAAAACGGAGGGAGCGCGTGCGCGGCTTCTCGGGTCGGCCAGGCGAAGGGCGAACGTGGCCGTCGGGCCCGAGGTACATGCACATCGGGGACCTGCAGAAGGTGGAGTGGATCCGTCAGCGGGTGGAGGATCCCAACTTCATCCCCTCGGACAGGCACAAGCTGCTCAAGGCCCCTTGCGGGGAGCGAAACGAAAAAAACACCCTGCCTGGACCCTCGAAATTCCCCTTAAAAATGGGCTTGACCCCCAAAATTATGGGGTGATGTCCCGTTTTTATGGGTAGTTTGAGGGTCCAGGTATGTGTCTCACGCTCGGGGTAAAATTGGGGGGGAAGCCTCGTGATTGCGTTTTTTTTTGCTCAGCCAGAGGCGCACTGCAGATATTTTTTGGTCAAAACCGGTTTGGCTTGGTTTTTCCCACGTCGCGCGGGCATTGCGGACGAAACGACTTGTCAGCCGCGTTCCAACAAAAAGGGTGGTCTCCTTACACTATGCGCAAAAGGGGGCTCCCCCCATGGACCCTCCAGCTTTTACAGAGCATACGATTTGTTGAAGTCGCTCGCTTGCTACGGATGCGTGCCCAGTTCCCCAGGTGTGCCCCTCGTCTCCATGGTTTGTGCAGGCTGCCATTGCAAGCCAGCCAAGAGCAAACATGTTCTTGTTTCTTTATGTAATGGCCCCCTGAACAAGCATGCTTCGCATCAAGGGCCCCTCCGACACTCACCAAAGCAAAGTTGTCCTTGCCAACGTGGTGCTAAAACCAAAAAGGGCTCACCCCCCCCCCCCCCCCCGATTTTCGGACTTCCTTTGGAGGTATGCCAAACTTGTCTGCAAAAAAGACCCCTAGAAAATTGACAGCACCTCCCCCCATCACCGGGCCAGGTGTATCAGGAACTTCTGAAGATCGACGCTTGGCCGGGCCACTTTAGAGGAAGGCCTTCTACACCCCCCTGCGGGTGTGCGCTCAAAGTGAACGTTTTTACCTGCCAAATTGGCAAACCTGCAGCTTTTGCCGTTTTTTTCATTTCAGTCGAGGCCAGCAAGACCGTGAGTTGGGTCTATTCAGCATGTACGGGTATGGATGTGAAGGAACCTTTGCTTTGGAGCCATACTTTGGGCCCAAGTGGCTTGAAACTAAGCTGGAGAAGCGTCGCCCCTTAGATGTGCGGGTTTCTGGGTTTGGTTTCTTCGTACGGGGACGATCAGGTTCCATTCAGTTCACATTGTCTTTATAACTTTAGTGAATCTTGTTTCCGCAGTTTTCTACAGCGCCTACCGTCGCGAGCGGTGCATCGGGATATCACTCCGCGCCAGATTCAAAGCTCCATCGCTTGGTGGAGTTGTGCTCCTTCCATTTGAACAGTTAAGTGCCTAGATGCCCCCTAAACATCCCCAGTTCTTCTTTGAGTTGGCTCTAATGGGTCAGTGGCAAGAACGGGACGTCAGCTGTTAAAAGCAAAGGAAAACAAACCCCTAGTTGCCCCACATGATGGTAACTGCCACTGTTTCTCATGTCCTTGCATTGTGCATCAGCGGCTGGCAAGGCGTTTTTTTGACAATGCCGGCCAAGGTCAGCTTAGCTCCATTTGCGTCGTTTGAGTTTTAGCCGTGTCCACGGCTAGGCTTTCAATCGTAATGTGGGCTTCGTGGAGGTGCTCATGTAGCGTTTCGCTCTCTTGTGTCAAATCAAATCAATTCAAATCAAATCAAGCCAGGAGGGTGGGTTTTTCGCGTTGTTCGAGTCACAGTGGATTTCTTCAAGGCTCGCGCTTGAGTTCGAGCTCTCTTTGGCAAAGTGCAAGCCAGGTGGGTATGTTCTCAAACCAGCGGACAGGGGTCACGCCGTTTTGTGCACATGGCCAGGTGTTTCAACCTCAATTTTCGTGAATCCCTGGCGCGTGAAGCGGATTTTGTGGACCCGAGGACACCTTCGAGCAATTTCTGAACACCCAGCGCCTTGCCAGTGGGATGGGAAGGTGTCAGGTAGGTTTGTGGCTGCAAAAGGGATCAACGCTGCACGAAAAGGCAATGCCACCCGAAAGGGAACACATTCAAGCGGTAACTTCTCATTCTTTCCAGGAATCTTTTGCCAGAAAGCCAGCAAAGGCCAAGGCAAACCAGCTGCTTGTTCACAACAGCCATGACAATGGAAAAAACTAGGGTCACTTTCTGTGAGATACCGCCCCCCTTGAAAGTGACAACGTGGCTTGTCCCACAGCTATTGGTATATTTTCCGCAGCCGCAAAATCACAGGGGCACAGTCGCAACTTCCTTCGCCCAATTTTGTGGCGATGGCACTCTGAAGCTGGGGCTCCTGTTTCGGCCCCTTCAGCAAGTTGTGGCCATGGGGGGTAGCCACCAATGATAGCTTTCATCAGGCGAACGGAGTGAGGGCCTGTGTCCAACATGTATGTTGTATGCAATTTACATACTTATATAATATTTATAATGTCGACTTCATATTAGTAAACGGGGTGCCCCCCCTCAACTGTTTTTTGGTTTATCCGGGAAAAGTACTGTAATAAAAGCACAGTGTACTTGTAGTATTGCTTCTAGTACTTGTAGTACTTGTAGCAGTAACTGTAGTACTTGTAGTAGTCCTTAGTACTGCTTCTAGTATTTGTAGTACTTGTAGTGGTGGCTGTAGTACTCGTAGTAGTACTCGTAGTAGTACTCGTAGTAGTACTCGTAGTAGTACTTGTAGTAGTACTTGTAGTAGTATTTTGTACTGCTTTCTGTATTTGTGATACTTGTAGTAGTGGCTGTAGTGGAATACTTGTAGTAGTTGTTGTAGTACTTGTAGTACCTGTAGTACTACTTCTAGAGTACTTGTAGTACTGCATCTAGTACTTGTAGTACTACTTGTAGTAGAACGAGTACTCGTAGTACTACTTCAAGTACTAGTAGTACTTGTAGTACTTGTAGTAGTACCGCTACCTAGTTCTTCCTAGGGGTCGCTTTGGGGTGTTTATTAATTACCAATGCGGGTTTGGGGAGCTTGTGGGGTACCTCATGTTGGAGTCCAGGGACATCACTTTTGTAAAGAGACGTCATTTAAAAGTGCCATCAACTTCTGCACGGTTTGCTCCCTGATACAAAAAAGTTATTTGGCTCGCCCCTGCGTTTCGTGGAATTTATTAATGTGAGTTTTTGTTGGTGGTTTATTAATGTTGTGCTTTGGAGGGTCGACTTGGGGGGGCGGTGTTGTACTTTTGAATTATCCCCTTCTTAATTTAGTATTGGGTGAAAAAGCGGGTCCGGTGGCCGAGTATTTTATAAATACGCCCCCATTTATTAAACTCAGGTTGACATTACATATGTATCAATAGATGCATGTATGTACGCGCGTGTGCCGTGCGTGCGTGCGCTTAGGATTTTTGCAGGTGCCCTTGCATCTCTCACTCCCTGAGTTCCTGGACTTTTAAGACTTCTCTGGCCAATCCACTCAAGAAGTGAGGATTGGTTTTCTAGAGAAGCTAACGAAAAACCACCCGCTCTAGGGCCTCCATCAAATGCTGTCAAAGCCCCTGTTCTGAATGGTGGTCCTTCTGTTGGTGTCCTTTTGTAGAGTCACCCAGCATAGATCCCACAGGTACAAAACCACCAAGCGATTCGGCGTGGACGGGGGCGAGGCGGCGGTATCTGGTGAGGTGCTCAGCTTACAGGATTTAGTGGTTTTAACCGGGGGTCATTATTTTGACGGTCTCTGAGGGTGACTAGGGGGTTGCTTCCCCTTAGCCCACCACTTAGGGGGTGACTTTGATCATGGCCTCAGAATGAGGCCAGTTTAAACATCACCTCGGCCCATGAAAGCTGAGTGTGGTGATGTTTTGAGCGCACATATAAGGTGTGATACACCTGGGCCACTGAAGAAATCACCTGAGAATCAGCTGATGTAGAGGACCCCTTGAAGAAGAGGTGGTTTTTGGATGCATCCATTGTGGAAACTTGTTAAACGCACCTCAAAAAGGGCACCCTCCCACCAAATAAGGGAGGCATGTCTGTTGGGAGGGCAATGAGCTTTGTTGTTGAAGTCTGCCAAAGTTCTTATTGCCAATCGCAATCAAATGATGAATCGCCTGTATGCATCAAGCAAGCAAAGTACGAAGCAGCTAATTGGCAGTGAGAGTGAGAGGCAGTGGCTCAAGCTAGCATGCCTATGTTCTACAGTTCTACAGGCTGGTTCTGAACGCCATGAATGTTGTTCTTTCGGTGCAACGTTTGCTCACATATCATGGCGACACCAGTCTGCACGGACCAATTCCCAGGCCGGTGCTTTCCGAAGCGTTGAAGATATTTTATGGTTTTTTTTTGTTTTTTTTTTTTTTTTCACATCAACCAACAAAAAGGGTTCCAGCTGTTCTCACGACCGCTGAGGGTCTGCTTCTTTCTTTTTCTTTTTGCCGGGTTGCACATGGATGGCTCGAGCCTTCCCGCGGAAGTACATTCAAAGCTCCGTAGAGCTGGGCTCACAGCTCTGAGGTCTGAACGCCGCCATTGAGAAGGCCATGGACGCCGAAGTAATGCAGCAATTTGAAACGCGCATTGGGGTCGCTCAAAGCGAAGGTGAGGGGTGGGTCTCATTTTGTTCTTTGATTTTTTTTGCTTGGTGGGGTTGTGGGGGGGGGGGTCCTTTTCAACCACAGCTTGGTATTTTCAAGGCTATAACTTGAGTACACCCAGAGCATGGGATTGGAAGAGGGTGAGTTGTATAAGCGCAGATGCTCTCGCGAAAGACGGCCAAAAGTGGGGATCCCTGTGAGTTCCCGTCGGTGTTTGACATGCATCTCGGGGAAGGGGTTCGCACAGCACAGGTCAAGTGACAACTGCCCTTTTTGTAGCGGGCTTAGCCGTGTTTGAGCAGGCTTTTGAGGCCTATGTAAAGCTTACCCAGGAGTTGCGAACCACTTGGCCAACTCCTAGACCGTTTGAATCACCCCCATTCTTGTTGGAACACGCAAGGGCAACGTGATAAAGCAGCTTGAATTTGAAAGCCGCTTGAGGATGTGGGCGAAGGATTAAGTGGTGGCACGAGCAGAACATAATGTCAGCCCGGATTGGGACCGCCGCGAAGCCCATGCCATGTTCAAAGTTCCGCGGAGGCCTTGCAGAAAGCGGATCCAACCCACAATATCAGCAACCTCCCAGGCAAGCGCTCAGCAAACCCGAAGAACCAAATCAGCAACCCGAAAACGCTGAAGCTCTGAAGCACGCAGCTTGAAAGGTGGCCTGTCTAAAGCGGGGGTGGGGGGGCATGGGACATGGCGGCCAAGGTCCTTTGTTCCCGAGGTGGGCAGGAGAAAAGAAAGTGTAGCCAATTGCCCCTCGGACGAAACTGATTGATTTCTTGCAGCGGCCAGAATGGCCAGTTTATTTTTCGCGATTCAGGTGTGAGTCGTTTGTTATTCCCAGCCTCAACTGTTCAACATCGACCGTTTTGTCCTTGGGTGCCCTATTTGTTATTCACTTCAAGTCAGGATCCCAAACAGTTGGCTGTTGTCCACTTTACGTCAAGACACCAAGCCGTTGACCATGTATTTTCTAAAGCTTGGAGCAAGTGACCAGGTTCTTTTCTACAGTTACTGTTCTGATTCCAAAGTCGTATTCTCAGCAGGACAGTTGACAGAATCCCTTCTGGGGTACCCCCTTAGACACCGAGGGCCTTAAGAACTGGGGTGGACTTAGGATAAGACAAGTCCCGTTTTGCTGGCTCAAGGTGAAGCAACCAGCCGGATCATATTTTGTTAATTACGGGGTATGTCATGTCAAAATAGGGGATCACAACCGCCCCCCCCCCCCACCGGGAAAAAAACAAAAACGAAACAACAAGAGCAAATCAGAAACAGCAAGAACCAAAGAAAAAGGGGTGCCCGCCAAACATGAGTCACATCCACATGGGCACGGTGTCGGTGCCAGGCAGCCAGCATGGGCATGTCGGAGTGCGTCATCGGCATGCCCCACCGCGGGCGCTTGAACGCGAGGGCCCCGGAGATTGAAAGGGAGCGTGGAGGGCTTCCCATTTGTTCAAAGGCAATCCACAAGATCCTTGGGTTACGTCCGGGGTACCCTTTGTGGTTTCCCTTTTGGGGATTGAATCGGGATGGGCCAACCCTCGATTTTGAACAGCCCAGTGTATATTTTCCCGTTTGGCGAAATATGTTTTTTTTTTTTTTTTTTTTTTTTTTTCGCACCACGTTAGAACAAGCCAAGGGGTCAACCTAATCGTCCCATGTCCTTTTGGTGGCGATTGTTTTACTAACATCACCTGTTGGGCCAATTTAGACTGAGTCTCCTCGAAGTGATGCTTGAGGGTATGTTTTTGAAGCCCCCTGTGCCAGGCTTTTCCAGGGAGATGATGACAGCGCATGCAAACCAACCGCCACAAGGAACTTCATGCGCGGGCGCTTCTCGCTAGGCCCTCCGAGCATGGCCACGCGGTGGCTTTCATGATTCTTCCCTTTCACAGCCGGAATGTGCCCCTCCGTGAGAAATTGCAGAGGAAGGACAATGTTGGGTAGACAGCTCTTTGGCCAAAGATGATTCTCATCGCATCTTGCCAAAAGGACTTTGTCCCCCCCGTTGAGCTTCAGCTTTGTCCTCAGAGATGCAACCGAGGTCCAAGTGGCGATTGCTTTTTCCCGTTCCGGCTTGGGGGGAGACTGGGCCCCTAAAGTGGTTGCATTTTCAAGGGTTCTCCGAATTTCTTTTGGGGCAGTTCTCCGTAAACCGTTTTGAGGGCACGGGGATGTTCAAAGGATGGACCTGCGAGGTGCTTACCAACGTAGTCCGCAAGCCGCTGGTGCAGATGTTCGCAGAGTTCAAGGCGTGGACGAGACGTCGAGATCAAGGGAGGGGCCGCCGGGCTTCGTGGCACTTGGAGTTGGGAAGTTCAGGGAAACCGCAAGGGCCGCAAGCAAAGTCCAGGGGAGGGAAGTTGGAGTTGAGGGAAGTTGAGGTTGAGAAGGCAAGAGCGCATGCTTCAGCTGCCCATCCATTGGCGTTTGTATGGTGCGCGTTTGTTGCAGGGGTGGGGTGCTGCGGGGTCTTCGGGATCTGTCAAGAAGCCAGACATGCTTGCCGTGTTGGCGCCGCTGGTGCGCGCGTGCGTGTTGTGTCAAGGCATGCCGAAAAAAGACTCCAACAATAATAGGCTTACTATTGGCTTCCCTTCAGGCCAACTTTGAAAAGGGTGCAACAACCCAACTGGGCGGTGGGCGCCTTTTTCGTTGCCTTGCTGAGTCAAGACCCTCTGGATGCAACGGTAGAGAGAGAGAGAGAGAAACCCAACTAGGCAAGCGTTTGGTGAGTTTGGTTGCTGAAGCCAAGTCAAAAGACTCTTCACAGCAGGAGGTTCCTCCAAACGACTGCCACGCTTTGACCTGGATGTTTGACTTCCTGGGACTTGCATCGCGGGGCTGCCGCTTTTTTAGTCAAATATCAAGACTCCCATGGAAAACATCCGAGGGGAGGGCAGTTTCGCAAGTTCCCGGAAATGAGTTTCATTTTTGGGGTCCATGATGACAGACCCAAATGCCTGAAATGAACTTGGTCCTGGCTCAGGGCACGCACTATGACTTCGAGAAGATTGTGGAGACGCCTCTTTGTTGCACATCGGGCTTCAGCCGCTTCATAAGAAGACGCTGTCTTCAACAGGGCTCCTTAAAAGATACATTTGCACATTTGAAGCATGGCTTTTTCCACCAAAATACAGGGACACCACCATGTACTGGGCAATTTTCAGGTGTATAATGTACGGATCCCTGTTCAAATCTGCACCCTCAAATGATCTCAAATGGAAGTAGGGGAAGACGGAAATCTGGAATTGCGTTCGAGGTAAACTGGAGAAAAACCTGTCTCGCTTGCGGTTGGGAGGACGTCCCATGTTGCGCATCCCTTTTACTGTCATCACCTTTAAGGGGGGGCCTGTTTTGTGAATCTTGGATGCGCGCGGCTCCACCAGCAGTAGAATTGTTGCCACTCACACCTCAGCCACACAACCCGCCCGGCGCGCCATCTCAGGGTCCGGACACATCTTCCAAGCGGTTTTGTCCAAACATCACCTGAGCTACGCGCAAGTCCTTTGGTCCTTTGAGATGAAATTATTCTCCTTAAACTAAGCTGCATTGTCGGATTTCTTGGGGAGACATACGCAACTTCTCCCTGGAAAAGGCGAAAAGGGCCCCCCCTCCGCCCCCCTCGGAAGCTCAGGAGTGAGGGGGACGACTGGCTCTTTGCGGGCGACGTCAAGTACCACCTGGGCACTTCACAGGCGGACGAAAGCTTTGGCTCGGAGCTGAGGGTATCCAAGCTGAGGAGCTACCAGTTGTTCTGTGAGGACATGCTAGCTGATTGCAGTAGGTGTCGAAACGAATTTTTGCGTTGCTCCCGCAATTTAGCAGGATGCCCGTCGCCCTCGTTGTTGTTTTTTTAAGGAGGCCCCTTTTTGGTTTACGTTTTTGGTGGAGGAGTAAGCGGGGGCCAAATTCTCCAGCGCTGATTTCGGCCCTGGAGGTGTTCAGCCTGGATGGCAACACCACCATCCGGGCGACCCTGGAAGCCAACCCTTCGCATCTGGAGACAGACCTGGCCTGAGCATCCGGGGCCAAAAATGAAAGACACAACTCTGCCAAAGTCCAATCATCGCCGAACCAGGGATCCTTCCTGAACATTGTTCAGAGGCAGGCCAAACGCCAGCGCATAGAACAACTAGGTCCCCCATAGTGCCCTTTTACCTTTTTTCGGGGGAGGGTTCCCCTACTAAAATAGACTACAGCAAAAAGGTACCCTTATTCTAACCTCTCTACTGGAGGACCTAGACAAAATACAGCGACCCCATAGGAATTTGCGTTGCGACCTCCACGTTGGATGAAGGCTTCTACAGTTGGAACCTTTGGTGCCACATTTCAGGTGTGTGTGCGTGTTAGATATTTTCTCAAGTGGATGGATGCGCAAAGAGAGACCATAGGAGGTGTGCAAGCAGTCCAGCTCGGAGAAAGACAACAATTTTGCCAATTGGGCATGCGCTGATTCCGGCGAAATCAGCTTTCATAATGTTACGCAACTTGATGGGCTGATGGCCATGTTTTTCAACAGCAGGAAGGAAAACTACACGAAAAGCGCAAAACAAGTGGGAGCTTCTAGGTTTAGGGTTTCGGCTCAGTCAGACAACCGCTCAATATAAGCAGCCTTTGCCAGATGTCAATCGAACCCGTTTTCGAGAGCAAGGGGGAAGGGCCCGCCATTGTTGCACTGACTTGTGATGCTTCGTGTGCAGACAGGTGATTCGTCGTTCCCTGTACTCGCCCATCAAACACGTTTCCAGGCAGCACTCACATATGGAAGCGCACGCGAGGGCTGGAGGCTTGTCTTGTAACTTGGCTCCTCATGGGGAACGCGGAGCAGGGTGGACTGAATACATGTCAAAGAACTGCATCGGAACTGGCCCTTGTTCCCCAAGAGGCGCCAAATTGAGCAGATCAAACAATGAACTTGGTGGCTCCCAGCCATCCCCTTAGCTTTTTAGCCTTTTAGCGTTTAGTGGGGATTTGCCTTTAACCCACCAAAAGTTAAAAACTTTTAGCTGGGGATCTGAAAACGGACAGCCCAGTGAACCGCAGTGGGTTTGACCCAAGCGGCCATCCGCAGTTGCACTTTGAGGTGAACACCGTGACCCTGGGCCGCGCCAGGGCCAAGCAGTGCCCCCAAGCATCACCCTTTGGAGCCAAAGCCGAGTCGGATTTTGGCGATGTTTAAGGGAAGGGCGCATAATTATTAGCAGGGCCTGTGCACTCCATGTCAGATTCTGGGCTTGCAGAATCTGCCCGGGATTCAAGCGCTTTTGTTTGACGGATTCGCATTCGCATGGCTCAGACCCTAGAGGTTAGGCTCAGTGACCCTTAGCCATGGACCCGGTGCTCGAGGCTGAGCCTGGGCCCCTGCCCCCGGGCGCGCAGCCCGTGGGCTCGCTCGCTGCAGGGACGCAGGAGAAGGTCGCAGGCGCGTTCTTTGGGTGGGAGTTTTTGGGCGCGGGTTGGGCGGAAAAGCGCGACCCGCCCGGGGGGGGTCCCGCGGTCTTATGGCTATTTTTGTGGTTTTTGTTTGGGGGGGCAATGACCACTAAAAAACGGTTTGAATGCACATGTATCCCTATATTTCTCCTCGGTTGTAAACATGTGCAGTTCGGTCCGTTTGAGGTGCGTTTGCTTTTGATGTTGGAAGCTGTGTGAGGCAGTATCGAATAATTATGACGCCATGTTGGCATGTCAGGAAGTAAAGGTGGTTCCGAACCTTTACAGTGGCCTCAAGGGTCTTATCCACAAAAGATCATTCGCGAAAGAGGGGTGCCTATTGAAATTGCAGTTGCCAAGCAGCAACTTCTTGGCAAGGCGGGCGGCAACTTCTCCTCAAAAGACCCGTTTGGAGTTTGCCAGCCACAGGGGGTAGAGCCCAGAGCGCCCGTTTCATCCATTTAGACCAGCAGACGCGCCAGGCGGGCCTGTCAGCAACCCCTTGGCTCTCCGACACGAGCGCCTGCAGGGGAAGGTCTCCAAGCATCTTGGTTCCGAGTCATCTTAAACTTTCCCAGCCCCAACCCACCCCCAACCCACCCCCAACCCAGCCCAACCCATTTTCAGACTTTAGTTTATTTCCTGCCTATCCCACTGTCGAAGCTTTGGGCGTTTAGCCCTTTGCCAGGGATCAACGAGCCACTAAGGTATGTGGTTCAGACTGGCGCTGGCTTTGTCAAGAGTCACTTGTTCCTTGGCTGCGCGCAGCCAAAGTGAATCGACCTGAACTGACCCATACTGACCCTTTTGGTGTTCTCGTTTTGGTCTACTTTTGGTTGTCAGTCACCCCCAAAGCCTATTCCTTCTTTTGTCCACGTCCTTTGGGCAAATTGAGTTTTCACCTCTTGCAATGTTGGGTGTCACAAGGGCTTCAAGCGTAGTGTGGGCAGCTCAGCGATTCTACCCTCTCATGTGAGAAAACGCGGCAGCACCCATGCGCAATAGGCCTGGGTGGAAGTCAATGGTGACGGTGTGCTGTTGGGGGATGTGATGAGAGGGCCTCAGGAGTTTCAAGATGAGTCGTGTGGGCCGTGCCCGAAGCTGCGAAGCTGGGCTTCGGCTTCCTCATTCTTGTGATGTTGCGTACAAGGAGCTCGCCAATTGCAACGTTGAGCTGGGGGCACCTGTCTAAATCTCAGCTCTGAGCGAATTTGAGTACTTTGGGCCCCCCTCCTCGGTATTCGCAATGAGGTTTTCGGGCAGCATATGAAGTTTCATAGCGCTGTTTGCGGTTGCCACTGAAGCACTGACATTGCAATGTTCAGGGTGCCATTCCTTTACAAACCCAATGACAACGCAGGAGCATGACAATGCAAGAGGGACTCCCCTCCCCAACAACATGTTCTGTAGGAACACCCCTGCAAAGCGCCGGCATGTGCGAGGTTTGACGGTGAGCTAGGCTTTAAGACAGAGAACGTGATGCTCGAGTGCCAGAACTACGAATTCAAGGAGGACGAGAAGTGTCAACTGCAAGTTAACCAAGCCATACTTTGGATGGACGGAATTCTGCAGTCAGGGGTTCCGCGTCCACGTCAATCTGCAGGGGAGCAATTGACATTCTGTAGCCCGCTTTTTAGCGCCGCTTGCAGCCAACCATCTAGTCAAAGGTTGGTTTGCTTCCGGAAGTGAGAGCCATGCTTCCCTGGTATCTCAAAAATTCACGGCCAAAACCCTCGGCACCCTTTTCCCTGAAGCAACCCTCGGTAGGACTGGCCCCATTATTTTACTGTCAAAGTCACCCACCAAGTGGTAGGTTAAAGGGACACAGTCCCGAATTTCAAAAAAAAACAGACTTTGATAACCCCTGGTGCCCCTGAATATTGGTGGGCCCCTTTTTCGTTGCCCTGCTGAGTCAAGACCCTCTGGACGGAACGGCAGAGAGAGAGAGAACCCCAAGAAGCAGTCAACATCCTGTGGATGGACGAACTCCTGCACCACCGAAGAAACCCTGGAATGATGATTCCCCTGTAACTACCCACGAGAAATGGTTTCCCATGGTTTCAACGTGGTGCGAAATGGATGTCGTCCACCCACAGTAATGACCTCCGTAGGACGAGAACGTGGAGTTCGACGTGCAGGCGGACGAGCGGGGCCGGCCGCAGGCCACGGCGCTGAAGCCCATCGTGGGTCGGAAGCCCAGCGATTGCCTGGGCCAGCGCCACAGGGGCTACGTGCGCCGCTTTGCGGACCGCTGGGGCTTCCTGCGCCCCGGTAGAACGCCGGCGCCCGTAGAACTGGCGGGGCGTGTTTTTTTGTTCTCAGAAGGCAAGGGGCCGGGCATGTGCCTGCTTTGGGTTTTGGAGGGGGGGGGTTGTTCCTTTTTCTTTTGGGGGGGGGGGGGTTTGTGGCGGGTTGTGATTGTTGCGCCTAGGTTTGGGTTCACAAAACCCAGGGACGACCATATCGCCTTTGGTTTCCGAACCCTTGAAACAACCCCAAGATTGCGTGGTTGAGGTTTGAAGTCAACATGTGCAGTCTATGGTCCAGGTGAGATTAAGTGGGATTGACATGGAACTGCTGAGTTTTGAAGTTGTGTTTCCTGGCTTGTCTGTGGCAGACCCACTTAATTGCTCTATACGATGTTGCATGGTTTCTTGAAGTGCCGGAATATATATATATAATTATATATAATTATACATATATATATATATATTATTCATATGTATATCCGCCTTCTGTCTGACCATAGTGGTGTGTCTTTCTTTCCGGGTACACCTTTTCATTTGCCCTGACAGGGAAACCACAAAAAGAGCCCAAGCAGTGTCTCCTATCTGAGGAATGCGGCCGCCTTCGACGGAGACCTTTTCGTGCATAGGGACAACTTGCTGCTGGTGCCGGACCAGATCCAAGATGGCCAGCCCCCCTTGCGCACCGGCCAGGCGGTAGAGTTCGACGTGGCCCTGGACGACCGAGGCCGCACCGTGGCCAAGCAAATCACCACCAGCGCTTTGCTCAGGCGACTTGGCGAAAAGTAGGGCAATTTGCATATCTATATATATATATATATGTTATGTAAATGTGTACCTTTTGGTTGAGGGTACCCTTTTCAGGTTCTCTTAAAGTTGAAACCCAAAGGGACATCACCATTTTGATGGGTACCTCTGTTTTGGCACAGGCTAGTTGTCCAAAGTAAAGCGACCTGTAATTTAACCCACCTTATGTGCCAGCAAGCCAAATGATTCAGCTCTTGCTTCGAGATTCTTTGGGAAGTGAGCTCAATTTAATATCGTTGGTTTCCTTTCGGTTTCCTTTCAGGCTTGTTTCCTAGGGTATTTCTGTTGTATGCATGGTTGATTTCACGTTGGCATCTCTGCTTTTGGTTGCTTGCTTTCCATGCTTTATCTTGGTGTCATCTTTATGTTGCTGCTTCGCATGCCGGGGTCTTTATCGTTTGTTTCGGCTTCAGCTTCCTCTCAAACAGCGCTTATCAGCCCCCGTCCACAGACGCTGAAAGGCGAGGTGGAAACCATCAAAGATTTATACCTAGAGAAGGTGGTTTCCCACAAGCCTGTTTCCAGGGATTTTCTCTTGTACAGGCAGTCTTTGACGGGGTTTTCTTTGCAGTGTTTCCCACAAGCCATGCCCAACCCAAACCAGAAGCTGAACTTTTCTTGGTCGGGAAGCACTGGTTCTGAGGCCATGCGACTGGATCGGGCGGCGGCTCCAGGGCGTGATCCGCTCATTTCAGGCGGGCAGGAGAGATGTGATCCGTTTGGCTCCAAGGAAAACAAATCCCAAACGGAGGGTCGGTCCGGTGGGTCAGTTGATTCGTTGGTCGGCCCGTCCGTCGGTCCGTCGGTCCGGGTCCCTGGTGGCCCAGGGATCCCCGACGTCGGGCCCCGAGTCCCTTCCCAGGGCGCCTGGGGCTTTGTGAACTCCGACAAGTTCGCGGGGGACCTCTTCGTGCATCGGGACGCCTTGCTCCAGCAATTCCAGGCGCGAGCGAGCGAGCGGAGCCACGAGACGTTTGTTAAATATGGCTCGTGCTTCATGGCCCCGGTTGCCTTGGGCAGTTGAAGATGGCTCGTGCTTCATGGCCCCGTTTGCCATACTGTGGATGGACAAAGTCCATTTCGCATCACCGAAGAAACCCTGGACGGATGATTCCCCTATAAATACCAACGAACAATGGTTTCCTTATAGTGGTGCAGGATTTCGTCCATCCACAGTACATTTACACAGTACCAAAGAATAAAGCTTTTTTTGGGAAGTTAAGTATGCCAAGCAACCCGATGGGCTTGATAGTCACTATTGGTCGCGAGTCGTCACTAGGCTGCAATGACTCCTATTCCTGTCTAAGAAACCTATGCCCAATCATACGATGTCAAACCCCGTTCCCCGTTGTTGTCCAAGGGGAACCGACCATAAGAGTGCATATGGAACCACATGGAATGGTGGTCATCTTTTGGCAAACGCATGACATTGCAATGTTTTGTGTGTTCTACGTGCGTCATTTTGGTTGCGCGTCACGTCACTGTGACAGGAACCCCCTTTTTCCAGGACGCTGAGCTGACTGCCGGCACGGTGGTGGAGTTTGACGTAGAGCGTGACCATCACAAGAAGAGCGGCAAGAACCGGTTGGTTGCTCGGCAAGTGGCTGTGCTACATCCAGCCCTGGCCCCATCCTT